AGTGTGGAGTTTAAAGGGTATGATTTATAGCACTCTGCAGGTTATAACTCATTTCAAACTGAATTTCCTGCCTGTGCGATTGCATCCTTCCTTAATGCCCTTGACAGAATGGAAAGCACAACCGATGTTCCGTGTCTAAAGATAGACATTTTTGGGTGTGACTTTTGAATCCCAGCTTATAAATTATCCCCTTATGAGGCAAGTCAATTGTCCCGCAATGATAATTACTAATCCAGTTCTCGCATTACAGAAATGAAGCTCAATTATTATTGGACATAAACCAGCAAAAATAGTGATGATCCAATGAATCTTGGGGCAGTGAAGGCTTGAGGTTTGACCTTAAATGTATGTTAATTAGTGCTGGTTTCCTGTTTATTCATAGATGATGTATACTGAAGAAATCACACACTGATATCACATCAAATACAACACTGCACTCTCTTGGGCTCTTAATACACATACCAGGTGTGAAAGTCGATGATGAACGGTTCACGTTTCTGGAATCAGTAGATCGATAGATCACTTTTAACTGGGAACCCTCTGGACCAGCTCAAACAACCAATGAAATTAAAGTGTGACAATTAAGCTGCTGAGTGAAGTAACATGTAAAACCATTTAATTTGAATTGTCCCAGATGTGAACTTTTTAGCTGTTCCCAGTAGCCAGAGGCAGAAAAGACCTCGATAGCCAGGTGATTTTATTTGCTGTAATTAAAGGCTAATTTAGTATCTACAAATAAAGCCAATATAGTGTTAAACCGTGCTGGCACATTTCTCTTGCCCGAGGCCTGCAGCTGTGTGTTATCAACAGCACCGAGCAAAGCACACTGCCGGGTCGAGCTTGACCAACTGCAGGTGCACGTATGCTGCCATGCATGTGTGTGTATCCATGTGCATGTGGGTGTGTCCATGTGCATAAAAAAGTATACATTACTAAATTACAGACACAGGGAAATGAGCAGGTCTTTCCAGAAACACTGTGTTTTTCACATTCTGTGGACAATTAATTGTTTTAATGAATGCGGTTCAGAGCCTGCACTTAAATTAGATGTCTCTCATATACAGTAATAACTCCTTACACGATGACCATGTTGCTGTGTGTGTGTGTGTGTTTGTGTGTGTGTGTGAGAGAGAGAGTGAATAGGGTTGATGATGTTCCGATGCAACCTGGACTGTTTCTATGGTTTAAGCTTTGACGTCAGACACGTTCTGTATCAAGCAGACAAACACAGAGGCGCACACACACGGACAGTATGGCACTCCATGAATCAGCAGTATGTCTAATTTCTCAGCACATTACAGAGACGATGGCCCTGTAAGACTCCAAATGAAAAGCCTAATGTCCCGCTATTGATTTTTCCCTCCTTTAAATCGTACCTTATTTATGGCTTGTGTCTCTTTCCCCAAAAGAGAAACTAACAAGTACAAGAAAGCCGGAGACTGAAATCAAGCAACAGGCTAACAGGCAGGCAGAGCAGGTGGATCGACAGTAAGGAAGACAAACAGCTGCAGGGGATACAGACAAACGTGGAGAGAAAAGCGATGCTTCAGCTCAGTCTCCATAATAAGATCTGCTCGCTTCCTCGACACACCCTGAACAGCACGAGCTGCCATTCTTCCTTCTTCCATTTAAAGCTTGTGAGACAGAACTGCAGGAGAGGCGCTCAGTTCCTCCAAGTATTTCTGATAAAGGTTTGGCAGCATCTTACATCTTGGAGTAATAAGTCATTGATAATGGCCTGTTTTTCTCTGGCTTTATTAAAGGAAAAATATTGCCCCGTCTTTATCGACATCTGTCTTCCTGTTTACCCGACGAGTGTTCATGCACTGATGCGGTCCAGCTCAAATCTTGCTTTATTGAAACGGTCTCTTTTTATCAGTCAAAGAAAGCAAGCTCAGCACGCGTCCTCTTTCTGAAGCCTCACCTTGATGCACACTTGAGCAGCTGCACACTTTCACACTGGGTTCTCACTGGTACAATAGCAATCTAGCAGCTGGTGGCAACAGAGCATCCACGCTGCTGCAGTTGGAAGGTCAAATGCCTTGCTCAGGGGCTGCTGTCGAGAAAAATGACAGTGCTTGTTTTCCTCAAAAGATTTCTCAGTCGGTTCTAGGATTTTCACCGGTGACCTTCTGCAAACACACAACCTCACTCCAAGCCTGGTGTATTATTTCTGCCTACTGTAGATTGTCTTCCACCATGTAACCACACTTTGGTGAGCAGCAATTTGTTGGCCCAGATTCTGGGCTACGATATCCAACACTCCTGACCTTTCCCTACAGAAGGCATATGTATCCTACACAGACATTAGAGAGAAACCGAAATATGAAGTCGGAAATCCATTTCACTGCAGTGAAAGAGCGCTGTGTATCACGGAGATAAAAAAAACAAGATTGGGAGAGCTTATGGGGGAGCCAGTACTGTACGGTCTGTGTGTTTTCTGAGTGTCCTTGTGTGTTTGCATGCATGTGTCGAGTCGTGTGTGGGGGGAAATGGGTGCAAAGTTGCTTGCAACAACATTTAGCGCAAGTTCAAATGACCCCTAAAAGCTTGTGTGAGGTCATATAATATTTGGACAGCCTAGTCCAATTTAGCCAGTCATATCTCCATCTGCTTTTCTCTGTATTTACCTCGAATGGGAATTGAAAACTGAGATAGTCCAGCTGTATGCATTTAGAAGTATGGCAGAGAAAGGCAGAGCCAGTGTACACCCCCCCACCCACACACATCCCCCTCCCCCCAGCTTTGCCCCTGTAGCGTGCCAATGTCTCCTCTATCCGCCATATACGCCGAGTCAAACAGTGCGTCTCCTGTCTCAGAGTCTGTCAACGTCTGGCACAGTCAGCAGGTTGATTCATTGCCTGATGCACATGCACCATAAGGTTTTTCAACTGCGATGGAGTGGAAAAAAAGATCTAATGCAAATAAATATACACTGACTGTTTTTTGCATAACACCTGGAGAGCTGCTGAGGTTACCTGTTACATTCAATTAGAAACTGTGTGGCATAAAAACATGACCACGTACATGACGGTAAAGTTAGCTTGAGACAGACTCAATCCGGCTGCAGAAAAAAAAACAGTGCTGCTGTGTAAGAGATTCCTGTTTTCGTTTTTTATTAGAGCCTGAAAAATGCTGATACCAATATTAGAGTATATATTTTAGGCTGGTGTCTGGTATCAACATGTTAACCCCACTATTGAAAAATACATCTGTAATCTGTGTGAATAATTGGCCTTGTAAATATATTATTTTGCCCCCAGCAGCATGATTTATTTCCCCAATATTCATTAATGTTGTACTTCAATAATCAGTTTTATAACATATGATTATAAGTGACTTATCGAAAAGAAAATCCATTACTAAGGAGATATTAATCTGCAGGAGTCATTTGCACAGTTTCTGCACGCAGCGCACACATTTGTCTCAAAGATTTTGAGTTTATTTTTCTGCTCCATCAAGTACAAAAGGTCAACCACTCAAAGTGATTATAGTACAACTCAGACACAGGTGTGTGGAAAAAAAAACCCTCTGGAAAAGTGTGTTTGCATTAGTTGTGAAATGCGAGACACATTTTGACCTGCCGTGAGCACACAAATGTCACACACAATATCGCAGGTTCATGTTCCTCACGTCACAGACGTTACCAGTGAAAAGCAAAGCCAAATAATGACAACACAAGGCAAACAAATCGAGCCTGACGACGCCAAAACTGACACCCAAGGTCTTCCATCACTGTACAGCAGCTGCAGCAGCACCCAAGACTTTTAGCTGAAAAGCCTTTGTTAATATGTACTTCCCTGTGCAGAGAAATGAACACAAAGAAACCCAGAGAGTGAGAGAAGTTTGTGAGAGAAATTGCAGGTTGAAAACGAAAAAAGAGCGCCATGCCATTTTCGGGTGCAGCGTGACATTTCTGCTGAGCAGTGGTCACCCTTGGCAGCCGCCGGTGACGCACATGTGACAGAAATGCTGACCCCGTCTGTCAGTCCTACCACCACTCTGCTGACGCCTCAGGTTCTGCAGGTTTCTGTGCAAATTCAGAACCCACATCTACAGCGCTCGAGGCATGAGTCATTAACCTTATCACGCATGTTTAGCCAGCAAGCCTGCGCAAATGTTGCAGCGCCGCGCCGTCTAATCCTCTGCAGAATAATCCCAATTTTTGGTTCTTAAAAACTCTTCCACCAGAGTCGTTCTGGCTGTTTGGAGGGAGCAGTAAATCTGAGAATCTCAGAGGAAAGCTGGCTAATTCATCCAACATCACTCAGCGCCCTCCACCCTGTGCTGAATATTAATCAGCGAATGTTCCCAGCATCAAGCTGGCAACCAATCCAAACAGATGATGGATGAAGCACCAAATAGACTATCTCTCCTGCTCTCCTTCCTCCCTCTCTGAGCTTCATCCAGATATGAACAAATGATTTATATTTGGACCATTCCCTCCTATTGATTGTCATTTAACTTCTCTCTCTCTCCTTCTATAGACTGTAGCATCTTTACTGTTCGACAGTTTGCACTCTTCCTTTTTCATTCAATCCTCCATCTGTCATCATATTGCCGCCCACTTGTGTTGCTTTTGCATTCATATCGTCAATATATAAATTGACATAATAAAAGCAAAGGGGCATTCCTCATTTTATACTGATTGATCTTCCTCTTTGTTAATTTTTTTGGCAAGTTGAGCTTCCCATTCAAAATGTGAGTCCCTCTAGTGGGAGTTTTTTTTTTTTTTTTTTAAACCATTTCCTCACCATTGCATTTTCTCTGTTTCATTATCCTCCACATTACATCAGACCCTGCACTACCTTGCTCCACAATTAACCTATTCAGCTCTACTTTGTAACAGAGCTAAAGTATAATTAGCGTCACTGAATAACAGTGCTTACGCAACTAATGACACAGCAATTGGGAAAAATTACAGTCAAATTGTACTCTTAAGAATGTAAAGGTATATTTATATAGAAGATTTACTAGATAAATACAGTGCTATTGAAAAACAGAAGGGTGTGTTGTAAATAGAGATGTTTTGATACCAGCATCAATAGAGATACTGATATGGCCAAAAACTGAGAGCTAACTAAAATGTCAGCAATTTCCCACAAGAAAGTCCCAAAAGGAAAACAGCGAAATGCTCCATATGCATGTAGTTTAAGGAACATTAACTAAATGACAAACTATATAATAAAATAAGTTCTACACAATTAATTTCTGTATGGGGTATACAAGGGTCGAGGCATACAGCTTATGTTATATAAGTTGTTATTCACTGGTTTTGGATCAGTACTCAGTATCCGCCAATACACAGAGAAACGAATCAGGAGGGGAAAATAGTATTGGAACATCTCTAGTTGTAAATATACAGTATATGCAGGAGAATCAGATGCAACATGAAAAGTAATATGAGTAAGTTTTAAAAAACATATGATGCTGAATACAAGAGATTTCTACCAGATGTCTGTTTCAGAGACTCTCTATGAACTCAAGCAACAAAATAAACCTCATCTTTATGCCGTACTTTACTTTTGTACTGTTGGAATTTGATTAACATGTCATATTTAAGGAAGGCTTATCTGTTCAAGCAGAAACAAAAAAAGAATATGTCCCAGTAGATATATCATCAGCAACCTCTCCTTTGAAAGATGAGATACTAAAGTAATGAGAAAAAAAAAAAAAGTTTAGTGACACTGCTCCTTTGTTTTATTTTTATCTCCGTCTGCCTGCTCGCTGTCAATCCTTCGTTCTCCGCAGACTTTATGGGCAGATCCTCCACGCCTCCCTGCATTCCTCCAGCAACCTGATTATTTTCTAAGCTTTGAAAAGTGACTGCAGAGTTTAAAGAAGATGAAAAAAACAAAGGATAAAAGGGGGGAAAAAATGAAACCATCAGAGTCGTTTATGGCTCTGACCTTTCGCTGCATAGACCACACACTTTATTATCCCTCATTCCAACTCATTAGGAACAACAGTTTACTCTGACATGTGGAATTCTTCACACACATCCACACAGACACAAATGCACATACCAGGGTCTATGGTGGTTATTAGTTTGGCACCAGGAGTGGGAATGACATCATGAGGCAGGCGGCGGTAAACACCCTTGATTGGTGGACAGCTGAGACTGCCAAGAGAGTGGGTGTCAGTGTTGGTGGTCCACGGTGCCTTGCTCGAGTCCTGCCCTACAGCAAATGAAACGAATAAGTACAGTTGAGTCTCCGCTGAGGTTGAGCAAGCATGCGTTCGACTGCTGGGACTGATTAGAGCACTTAGGCTTATTGTGTTTGTTTGAACAGAGGCAGCTCACATCCCAAATCCTACATGACATCCTTGTCTTGTAAAGTTGGATGTATGTGGTCGAGTGATGTTTGGTTTGTAGAGTGAAACACTGCTCTGTTTAATTCTTTTTCAATTTTTGTTTGTGTGTGTGTGTGTGTCAGCTCACTACATTAAAATAGTTGAATGGATTCTTTAAGTCTGGCTTTCAGACTTGTTCGATTCCATAAAGTATAATTGTGTTGTCATTTTCATAAGCTTATCCTGCAGCAGCTTAGTGAGCTGGAGGGAAGCCAACAGAGGTGTTAAGAGAGGCACCACACATACTGTAGGCACTGTGTGCTGTGTGTGTGTGTATCTGACAGTATACACATGCACGTTTACTTTACATAATTATGTATAAATGTATAGTATACCATATGGCCATCAGAATTTTTCAATATCAAATAAAATGAGTTTTGAATCGCCCTGCAGTTTTATGCCTCAGCAGATTTTTTTACCCCACACTCATGAGGTCACTGTGACCTTTGACTTTTCACCACTGAATCTAAGCAGTTAATCTTGTAGTCCAAGTGACAACTGTTATAGATCTGAAGAAATTACCCACAGGCAGATTTGAGAAATCATGTTCAAAAACAGGACAAAAACATGTTTTGTGAGGCCACCATGAGTTTGAACTTCAACCACCCAAGTCTAATTGGTTAATCTGTGTGTGTAAGAGAACACGTGCCAAGTTTGAATGGATTCTCTCCCGGTTAGGATAATGGGTTTCACAAGACAAAAAACATTTTTATATAAAGTCACAGAGACCTCGACTTTGAGAACCAAATTGAAATCACTCAATCTGTGTGTCCAATTGAACATCTGTACCATAGCTGAGACTGAAAATGTGTTTGTAAGGACATAGTGACCTTGATGACCAAATTCCAATAAGTTCATCCATAAGTCCAATAAGTGAAAGTTTGCACCAAATTTGAAAGGATTCCCTGAAGGTGCTTCTGAGATATAGTGAAGAATGGGACAGACGGACATCCTGAAGAAATAATGCTCCTGATGAAGGCATCATGTTATCCAGTTAAGTCTTTTAAATGTTGGAAACGGAGAGAACTGTTCATGAGAACTTCACAGACATCTTTGAATATCTGGTTTTGTCTGACCAACAGTCCAAAGCTCAAAGATTTTACATTTACACTGATGTAAAACAGAGAAACATGGCGAGCTTGTTAGGCTATAATAGAACCAGAGGAGGACATCTGGCCAAAATGTTCTCTTGTGTAACCGATGACCTCATGTGACTGTTGGGCGGTGGATTCTATAGCACTGGTGTTTTATTTGAAGTTAGGGCCCACTGGATTTAGGTGTAACGACTGTATATCAACCAAGTGTGGTTGGTTTCCCTGATAATGAGACCTTTTATCTTGGTGTTTAGGAGAGAGTGGAGAAAAATGCATAATGGATGCCACATGTCAAGACAACAAATGAATGTAAACCTTTTACAGAAAATAAGCAAAAACTGTGGACTTGAACAAAGCCATTGCTTATGTTCAAATAAATTATCACTGAGAGAGACGGTACACGTTCTACAGCCCGGCACTGTGCCTTTACTTAACAGGAAACTGAATATAAGAGGGGAAGCATCCTGTTAATAGAATTGACTGCAGGCGCTAAACAGGCCTAGAGTTTATTATTCTGTCCTCCAACTTGGTAAAACTCTCTGAACTCTTTCAAATTACTGTCCCAACTTTTCGTAAATTTATGCTAGGAGCCATTTCCCCCCCCAAAAATATTGCCTTCTTTCTGCCTTGAAAGACACTGTATACTTCCGAATTTCAAGGATGAGAGAAGTATGTTCTTTCACTCACTCTCTTGCAAAAACAGGCCGAGTCTCAAGTATCTGGAGACCTCCCCTCTGTTCTCGGGCTCACTTAGGTTTCTGGAGTTCAAGCAGCCGTGTGCTTGTGTTGGTGTGTTATCCTTACATTTACATGGGCGTGTAATTGTTGAACTTAGCAGTGTGTTCATTCATTAGTGAGTGCTTACCTCCCCGGTCCCTCTCCTCATCTCTCTACATTAGCTCTGACAGTAATGACTTGCCAGGCCTAACCTCTTAACTGGCCTGATGCATGCTTGTGGCAAACCCACTCTCGCTGCCCCGCTAAAATGGAAACATGCCGTTTGAGTGTTTTATCCCCCCCAACCCCTCTGTTCCCACTCTGTCTCTCTCTCTCTCTCTCAATTTACTTCACCTTCTAACATTTCTTCCTGTTGCTTTAGAGAGTACGGTAAAACAGTACTTAAGTCAAATTTCAGGCAAGATGTAGGCATAATTATTTTTACAGTTTTTATGTGCAGCTGTCTTAAAGCTACAGAGGCCCTGAAGTGCAAATAACAAAACACAACAACAAATCCCAATAGCAACTTACAAAACACAACATTAACTTCCAATGGAAAAGGTAGGTAGGTTTAGTGATTTGATGTTTTCTTTGTCTTATTTGCTGTTGTGTTTTGTGACTTGCACTTCAGGGCTACGGTAACAACTTTAGGAAAATGTGCATATTTAAATGTGAAGGGAACAGGTTCTGAAAATCACATGATGTCACAAAAATGACATGCACATGATCGAGACTTTACTTCTCCGTAGTCCCTCGCTCACAACCGATTTGAGCAATGAGCATCCGTGGGAGAAAGGCCTAATGTCATTAACTGAATCAAAGCTAAACAAGTTAATTCTTTCTGAGGATTATCAGAGCCCAACCAGGCAGGAGCCAAAGACATAGGGACTATCTCTGCAGAGCAGTTTCCATTACAGCCACTCCAACCTTCAACGGCTATGCTGGAATAAATACATTTTTACAGAAGTAAGATTGCAGCATGTTTTCACAGACAGAAATGTGTTATTTATGGTAAGCAGTTAAGTTTGGAGTGCAGTGGTTCCTTTTTTGTGTTATCGGACATATGCTGCAGATTCGTGGAACATATTCATGAAGGACTTTTAGCCTTTAGGGCTCTTTCACCCTCACTCTATCCAGAGGGTGGAAAAGATACACGAGTTCAGCTATGTGATTCCTGACTGGACTGCAGAGATAAGAGAGCCCAAATAAATCTCTACCCCTCCAAATGGGTTCCAGTGACAATGGAAATAAAGAGGTTTTGGTTGGCCAGCCAGATGACTGACGTCTTGGTGCTGTTCCTACCTCAGTGACCAGCAGATAAACCCAGGATTAGAGAGAGAGAGACACTATTAGACTGCTGCACGCACACATATATAAACTCACACGCACACGCACACACACACAGACACACACACACACACACACACACACCAAAATGCCTGAACTCTCACTTTAAGCCATGGTGTGTCTTCACGGGCACACAGAGTAGACTTTGCAGTTTTAACGTCAAGGTCTCGACCAATCAGCTTCACTTTTGGGGGGCTTTCATGTCATCATGGTACACACACACACACAACAACATACTTTCATTCACAATTTCATACAAACACACACTAAATTCCACCTTCAGAATTAAGGCATACAGTTCATATTTCTGTTTAAGCCACTCTGAACAACCACTCAAGTCAATACTCATGCAACAAGGTTGTAATCCATAACTGGCTTCCCACCTACAAACACTGCTAATTACAGTTTTGCTGGAATGCACAACCACCCTGGTGGTACCACTACCTGAGCTTGAACCCATCTCTTTGTGGTCGCTGGTGACTGTTTCTGCCCCCTCGCCACCCGAGCACCCCAGAAATCCTTATTTATCAGAAATGTTAGGCTGCTAAAAGGCTTGGGTGACGCCAGAGGAGAAGGAAAAGAGAAGGGAGGCAGAAAGGGTAAGATGAAGGGAGAGCCAGAGCAGAGAGTGGAGAGATGTTATCAGGGATCAGAGATTCTGTCTGAGCTGCGGACCTATCTGCGCTGTGAACTCCTGGCGGCCTGACCTGAAACGATTCCAATCTGTCTCTGGCAGGAGGAAGGACATCCAAAAAGGAGATAAAGTCACTGAACAACTTCATAAAGCATACACCTGTTTCTTATGTACCCTGAGAAACCGAATGCTACAGGTTTGTCCTATAGGTAATGTCCAGCCATATGAGACAGAAGAGCCTGACCCAAACATTTTCCTGGCCATGAACTCAAGACTCCTTTTTTCAGATTCACTCAAGCATCTAAAATCCTATTACATAAGATAATAATAAAAACTAGAATTAGATATAATCATGGAATGTGGAACGGTAAAGGTGCGTTTAAAGCTATGATTTAAAGGAAGCTACCGTCTCAGTCTGCTGTATTTCCTCGGGCAGGGTGTTCCAGAGCCTCCGAGCTCTTATTTCAAAAACTCAGTCCCCCTGAGTCTTAAGCCGGAGTTTGGAACAGAAATATGGAAACAAATGCAAAGTGTCAAAATAGATTCATGATTTATGTAAAGTTTGTTTCTGTTAAGGTTAAATTTGGCAAAAATGAGGGGAAAGTGCTGTGGGAAAGAGCATGAAAGATGACACCTTAAAAAAAGAATGACAGACTATACATCGTTCTCCTAAAATGAAGCCAAGTGAAAGTTCAGTCAGGAAGACTTTCTCTTGCCCGTTCCTCATAAGTACCGTGCACAGTTCCCGCTATCCCTCGGCTCCTTGCCTTGAGCCAATCACCTGTAAGCTGTCAAATTTTTAAATGTTCTCTCTGACTCAAGTCATTCAGCTGTCAGTTAAATTCTGGTCACAGAGTGACCCAGCCCAGCCCCTATGTACACCACCTCAACTTAGGACACCCGGTCGTCCAACCATCCAATCAAAGCCCTATATCAGATGTCACTGCTTCAATGGCATTCCACTTCCTGTTCGGGACTAAGAGCCAAAGTCTGTTCCTCTGCTCACAATAAATTTACTCATTTTCTCCAGAAG